ATAAGAATAATATATAAGAATTCAGTTCGTACCTCACAGGAAACAGATCCGAACCCACGATCCCGGCTTCCGAGCGAGCGAAGACAGTGCATGCCTTAGACCGCTCGGCTACTGTGACCGGCATTATTATTATTATTATTATTATTAGTTATAACACAATAATATATCATTTAGCGTCTTTGTGTATTTTTCTCTTATGTCTATTCAAATTGTTTGTTACTTTCATTTCTCTTTGCTTGCCTGTAATTCGTCTGTCACACGCTTTAACAACAGAATTATTATTATTTTTATTAAACTTCAGTATGATATTCTTAGTTAAATAAAACGACACAAATTAGAGGCATATTCAGTTATTCTTAGAGGTATAACTCTGAGCTGGGTCCTTCTCGAAATATGGCAGTCGATACTGCAGTTCCCTATAATTCCCTTATCTGTAAATTCTTACATACAGAATCAAATAAGTGCTCTTAAAATTGGGCTAGTAAAAATTATTTTCCAGGTATTCACCTTATGAAGATTTCTGAAAGATATACTGATTTGCACTAGTCGAAAAACACGACTCGAGTGTCTTTCACCTTGCAGTGTGACGTGGAAGTGGCCTATCTTTCAGGAAACTCCTCTATGCTTTCCGGGTGTTTGCTTCGGGTCACGTATAGAGAGCGCAGTTTTCTCTTCGCTCAACGCGTCAAGTGTTCGCTGTCATTACACGGTCCAAAAAGTTACGAACGACGCTGAAAACTTTCTACTCTTTGAACCAGCCGTAAAATCTGTTTAAACTTGTAAGAAACTCGAGCCGATCCATGTCGAGGGTTTCGGTAAGCGTCTGTTTTGTCCACGTGAAGGTCTGTATGGCTGTGGGTTGGGAGAAACAGAGATAATTGCGTGGTCTATTAGCTCTGATTTTGAAAACAGGTTTTTATGTCACCGCGCGCTAAACGCTCCTTATTGTAGACAGCGGCTACAGTCCCCTTAAGAGGGGCACAGCCCAAATTATATATTATTATTATTGGAGAGGGTGGGTTTCCCCATGCACCGCGACCAGTGGTCTATTGTACGCCCCCCTGTGATATTCTACCAATCTCTATACCCTACCGATACTTGTGTGTGCCATGAGTCCCGATTCAGACAGCGAGTTCGGCCTCTACTGGCTGAGCGGTATCTAGATGCTTCCCCCATCTACCAGAGGCGTTAGAGACTATTGTTGGGCGGGAAATGTCCTGGTAATTTAGCTCAGAGACCTCCTTGAGGCATGAGGTTCTTTTACATGCCGTAAAGCTACGACACGGGACCCACGGCTTAAAGTCCCTCCCGGAGGACTTGTTCCCTGAATTTTTCAGCCCTTAAAAATTCCACGACCTCCGCGTACCTTGAGTCATGAGGTGGGAACGTTACCCCTAGACTACGGAGGCCGCTTAAACTACACAAGTCTGCAAATTCGGTTGTTTCCAACATAAATGGGGCCCTATTTGGAGGGGGAAATATTCTCATAAATGGCTTGCCGTACATTAAGAATGACTTTGCGGCCGTCGTGTTGAAATATACAGGCTACATAGACTGAGGGTGTTTGAGAACAGGGCGCTGAGGAGAATATTTGAACCGAAGAAGGATTAAGTGACGGGAGGTTGGGGAAAACTGCAGTTTGCTAGCCTTGCCATATAGTTAGCCTAGACCGATGCACTCAGTAAGTATTGCAAGTTCTTCCCAGAACTTATGGTTAAGAGATAAAATTAAATATGAAACTAGAATTATAGCACAAAATTTCTTAATTGTTCAGGCATTGTTTTTGGAATTCAAAACAAATATCTTGAAGTAGAAAAAAGAAGGTTTTCTGCCCTTTGTCTTCAAGTCCCCTGATAATTTCCTGTGTTTATTCGGCACCGAGAAATGTCAGAAGTTCAAACAACGTAATTCTAATAAAATAATGCAAATATTTAACATAAGCGGGCAATCATGACTGCCATGCATTGCGACATTCGTCCTGAAGTTCGTTTTCTCTTTATCTGCTGCAATTTTTATGCACGCTACTGCACTCTTCCTTACGTGAACACGAAATCCGGGTTAGAATATTGTTCCAGTTTTCCACTCCAGGCCTCCCTCCCAGAGGAAGACTGCTTGCAGACATGTTCCCATCCAGGCACAAACTTTTTAATGGAATATATTTGGGGAAGGGGGCTCTCTGCCCTTCTGTCAACAGGACAAAGCTCTCTTGGATTGGAGGAATCTGGAGTTCAGACTCTGTTTGGTTAATTTCGTTCTCCTTTTATATTTGACTTGCTGATTGGTTAGTTACGTACTTCCCCATCCGACAACTCTTCTAGAAGCCTCCATATTCTTCTGGGTCAACATGTGGCAGGTGTTTCAAGCAAGAGTGTAATACGTCTCTTGTATTAACAAGGGAGGTAGGGAACTAGTGGCGGTCACGGTAGCCGAGCGGTCTAAGGCATGCACTGTCTTCGCTCGCTTGGAAACCGGGATCGTGGGTTCGGATCTGTTTCCTGTGAGGTACGAACTGAATTCTTATATATTATTCTTATACACTGCCGGTCACAGTAGCCGAGCGGTCTAAGGCATGTACTGTCTTCGCTCGCTCGGAAACCGGGATCGTGGGTTCGAATCTGTTTCCTGTGAGGTACGAACTGAATTCTTATATATTATTCTTATATACTGCCGGTCACAGTAGCCTAGCTGTCTAAGGCATGTACTGTCTTTGCTCGCTTGGAAACCGGGATCGTTGGTTCGAATCCCACTCATGGAACGAGCGGAGAGATCTTGCGTATTGCATATTTTATTCGTGTGTTTTATAAAACATGCCACTATCATAGGAAAAGTTTATGCTGAAACATACTAATTAACGCAACATCCATTGTGTAAAGAACAGAGCTGAACTTAAGTCTGATATGACTAATTTAATATTCCTGGTCTTTGTAAAATGCTGCCTACATTTACTGGTTGCTTTGAAACTGTCGGTGTGTGATCCTGTGTTGATGTTCGATGTGCTCTGACCTAACAGAGTTACGTTGCACCACGTGACATGAATACTGGACCACAGGATCGTAATGAGGTTTCTGACAGCAATAGCGCCTATTTGTAAAGGGTTTACCTAGCGGTTCCCATTTCTTGCCTTAACAAACGACCAGACGGTTGACAGAGAGAAGAATTCTAATAAAACTGAAAATGCCCTGTGCAACAGAATTGCAGTGTACATTTCGAGGACTGGCAGATGCGCACCGCAGGTTGAGACCGTGATCGAGTGCTTATAACAAAAATACGTTATTTACAGTAATGGCATTGTGTGACAATCAGATTGCGGTATCAAACAGATATTTTCGGTGTACAGAAGGGTCACACATTCAAGATTCCATTTCACTTGCATTGACAGTTGCCACAGGCAGCGCGTCGCAATATGAAATAAAGAATTTTCGATTTGTGTGCGCCCCTTCAGCAAGCGGACCCCTCACTGATTCGAATCGAGTGCAGTAAATTCGACAACGCGCTGCTAGCGATTTATCGAACTTGGAATGAATGGACTTCCATTTATTTCCTCCTGGCTGCTATGAAGCACATTATGAGCAGTTTCTTCTTGTTCCTGGGACAAGAGGATTTTACTCCTCGCCCACCGTGTTCCAGATGTGAACTGGAGGAATACGTTCCATATTGGCGAGTTCCCTTTATCAGCTTTACAATGGCGATGGCGGTCAGTTTATTCGCTTATTCTACGGCAATTGATCAGCTACTCTACTGATATCTGTTGTTTTTCTCAGAGAGGGAAACCTATCTCATTCTAAATACAAAAAAACATAATAATTAAGAGATATTGGGTTTTCGGAATTTATCCATCGTCCTCGTTTTTAAGATAACTAAGAAAAAACACGACGTTTCGGAAACTGGATCTGTTTCCCTCCTCAGGTGAGGGAAACACTAGGTCCCTTAGAAAGAGCTAGCCTCAATCACTGGACAACCGATGTTGTCCTACCTCCATGAACTTCTCCGTTCACTTCGGTTTTTTTTCTAGATCTTACACATTCGGTAGAACTCCTTGGGCGGGTGATCAGCTCGTCACAAGGCCTCAGTCTGTACACAAATACAGAAAAACGCACACACAAGAACTAAACATCCATGCCCTGAATGGGATTCGAACCCACGATCCCGGTTTCCAAGCGAGCGAAGACAGTACATGCCTTAGACCGCTCGGCTACCGTGACCGGTCGTTTAGAACGAATAGGATAGCTTAAATATGAATATAATTTTGATTGAAAGACCTGAAAAAATAGGCCACTTTTAAGATATAGTCTTAGATGGTAGGGTAATATTAAAATGGATCTTAAAGAAAAGGGGAATAATGTGGGAGTGTATGGATTGGACTCATCTGGCTTCGGACAGGAATCACTGGTTGACTCTTCTGTAAAGGTAATGAACTTTCTAATTCCACAACAGACAGGACATTGTGTTTGAAAAGCTGACCAAACATTAGCTTCTGTTGATATTAAAAACCGGAAATGGTTAGTGGTCTCTGCTTTCAAGGTCAGACTTACACTTCCTTCTAGTGAGCAATGTGTAACCATGTAAGATTTGAGGCTTTCACGGCGGTGACCATGAAGAAAGCAGTCTTCTGGGATTTGGCACTGTGTATATGTGGTGTTAACCGACGTTTCGGAGGAACGTATCGCCTCCATCTTCAGGGTAGAAGAAAAATATAAGAATTCTGCAAGCGAAGAGACCTTGAGACCGGTTCTCACGGTCTCACCGCTTGCAGAATTCTTATATTTTTCTTCTACCCTGAAGATGGAGGCGATACGTTCCTCCGAAACGTCGGTTAACACCACATATACACGGTGCCAAATTCCAGAAGACTACTTTCTTCAAGGTGTAACCATGTTACATAAGCAGTACCGAATAACTCTTTAGCATACCACGTACCGTCCTTGTTCATGGCCGCCTGGAAACACTTGTTGAGTCTGCAAGCCCGACACTGGTTCCGGTGCGTCTTGTCAATAGGACAGCGTCCCTTCAGTTCGCCGGCTGCTTTGCACGTGTATACTCGGTTACGGTGAATACTTCGCTTGAAGAACCCAGAACAACCTATAAAACATTAAGCGAAGCTGTTAGTAGCAGTTTTGATGTACTGACACAAATTCTTGCCGGTCATAGTAGCCGAGCGGTCTAAGGCATGCACTGTATTCGCTCGCTTGGAGACCGGGATCGTGGATTCGGATCTGTTTCCTGTGAGGTACGAACTGAATTCTTATATATTATTCTTATACACTGCCGGTCACAGTAGCCGAGCGGTCTAAGGCATGTACTGTCTTCGCTCGCTTGGAAGCCGGGATCGTGGATTCGAATTCCACTCAGGGTATGGATGTTTAATGTTTTTGTACAGGTAGAGGCCTTGCGACGAACTGATCACCCGCCCAAGGGGTCCTACCGAATGCATAGGATCTAGTTTCATGGAGAGTTTCATGGCCTAGGCACAAATTGGAGCTGTAGCGCCAAAAGGAAAAAGACAAATGCTTAATCTTATTAACTGCTCTAATAATGGGGCTACTACACGTGACTAGGCTTTGAATGCAACGAGTCTGTAGAGTGGACGTCAATCTTTTGCCTGGGAAGCTCCTCAAACTTGTGTTCTACCGATATTTGTGATACTTACAGCACAACAATAAACAAAAGGAAATCAGTAGCACAAACCTTTATGCACAGACTGATTCAGTCTAAGTGCTCTCCTGTCACTAGGACAGCTATTGATGTTGATCATAAGTTAGAACACGTGACATTCAAAACTACCCATCTTCATTACAGCAGTCTGATCATTGTGAATTGCCGTGTTTCTCACTTCGTTGTCCGTATTTGTCTCTGTTCCATAAAATAAAGTTTCCGCTGTGTTTAATTTATTTATGCCCTCCGGGAGGGACTTTAAGCTGTGGGTCCCGTGTCGTAGCTTTACGGCTCGTAAAAGATCCTCATGCCTCTAGGAGACCTCTGAGCAAAATTAGTTTCCAATGCCTCCGGTAGATAGCGAAGTATCAGGTACCACTGCCTGTAGAGGGGCCATACTCGCTGGCTGAACGGGGCTGATAGGACGCACCAGTATCGGTAGGGTATGGCGACTGGTAGAATATCAAAGGGGGACGTACAATAGATCAACAACTGGTCGCGGTGCATGGGGAAACCCACCCTCTCCAATAATGAATGAATGAATGAATGGATGAATGACGTATGGAGAAGTGGAGTTATAGCTTCACGCGGAATGAGGAATGAAAATTCACTTAAAATGTGTAGGACAGTGATGAGCAATTTTATGGGCGACGGCCAATCCAGAACATCAAATCATGGCGTGGACAGCGAGGAAAGTAATATTTTAAAGATCAATATATATTAAGTTATTAAGAGACATAAATTAATCGCATTAATGAAATTAAAAGTATTAATTTATTTTTAAAACTGTCCCTTTTATTTTGAAGGAAGCAAGAACTTGAATGAGAAGCTTGTCACTGTTCCTGTAATACGAAGTTCTGTGTCTCTGAACGCATGTGAGGACTGGCAACTCGGAGGTTTCCAATCTTTCATTATCGAGTTTTTCTTTAACGCAAATTGTTATTTTTCCGCCAATAAATGGTTTCATATTTATTGTTGGACTTCCAGACACCATGCAAAAATCGCACACCGCAATGCCTGATTTCAAGGCTGAATTACTTAATAAATTTTGCTAATGGGCAAGGCCTCTCCTTAATAGTGTATTCTTTTGAAACACAGACATTTTCATAACCGGTGATGCAGACACCAGTCTCACCAATAAGAATACTGATGCACTCTTTAGCCGACCTCTTCTGAACTGAATGATTTTCATCAAAAATTTCTATTTTCTTTACTGCAGCCAAACCAGGACACAATTTACAAAAACAAAGGAATAACGTTAACGCCCCTTGATTTTATTAACCACTGACATTACTCAACTGAAATATCATTAACAACCAACTGCTATCACGAATCACTCATATATATTCTTCCTAGTTACTGCTTTTGTTTTATTTTACTGCGTGATAATACTTTGATGTTCTCGCCCTTGAAAAGAGAACTCTGCCAGCGCGGTGCACTCACGTACTTACTCATGGAGCTGAGCCCTTCTTGAGGAAGAGCCAAATCTGCAGCTACTCAAGAATTCCCCAGCATTTTATGGAACCCGATGGTTCATTACCGTGTTCATAAGAGCCCTCCACTGGTCCCTATCCTGAGCCAGATTTATCCAATCCACACCATCCCATCCTACTTCTCTAAGATCCATTTTAATATTGATATTAATATTTACGGTGCACTTACTTGCTTACTTACTCACTCATGGAGCTGAGCCCTTCTTGAGGAGCCGCCAATTCTGCAGCTACTCAAGAATTTCCCAGCATTTTATAGAACCCAAAGCTTCATTACCATGTTCACAACAGCCCTCCACTGGTCCCTATCCTGAGCCAGATTTATCCAATCCACACCATCCCATCCTACTTCTCTAAGATCCATTCTAATGTTGTCCACCCACTTACGCCTTGGTCTTCCCTGTGGTCTCTTTCCTTCTGGCTTTCCCACCAATATCCTATACGCATTCCTCGTTTCCCCCATTCGTGCTATATGCCCTGCCCACATCCTCCTTGGCTTCATCATTCTAATTATACTTGGAGAAGAGTACAAGTTATGGAGCTCCTCACTATTATATCTACGGTGCACACAATCGTAAAAGTCTCGCTTCACCAAATATTAGTCGGAAATGTGAAACATCGTGACAAATCGAAAAATATTGTCTCAAAGTCTGCATTTCAACAATCAGAATAATGTTACTTCACTTCAAGGTAACAAAGAAAAACAATTCCAACAGCTCAGGGAGATAATTTAATTGTTAAGACATATAATGTTAAGAGAAGAGCTGCAGGCCTGTCCGATCGCATTGCAATAACGGAAAGGGCGTGAGCACCTAAAAACAAAATTTCTCCTCCAATACTTATGACAGTAATTCTGAGGTTTAATATTTTTTTAATTTTAAAGCGGGTGAGGCACTATGCTACAAGCAGGAAAGACGTGGGATCGAATCCCGATGAGATAGATTTCCTTCAATTGACCTAATCCTTCCAGCCGCACTATGGCCCTGGGATCGACTCATCCTCTAACAGAAATGAGTACTAGGAATATTCCTGGGGTTAAAGGGGGCGAGCCCTTAAGGCTGACAACCTCACCGTCATCTGTGAGTCGATTGTCTATAAAATGTGGGAGCCTCAATTTCTCACAATCCTATATGCCTCCACGGCCTGTTACAGGGATACTTTTATATGTATTGTTCTAAAATATTTTGGGAATATTGTTTGAACTTATTGCTTCCACACTGTCGTTATCGGAATTTACTCGCGGAAATAACACGGAATTTCGGTGGGCCGCGTCGTGTCCGCTTCTTCGTTAGTAGTGTTAAGCAACCCATATACATCTACCTATACCACGCATGCGCACTTTGAAGGAACTGAACTTCAATAATTTATGATCAGTGAATTCCTACAGACGCTCCAAACGCGGTACTTACGAATATTTACAACTTAGTTAATGCAGACCTAACACTAGGCTCACCTTATAGCTGTATAGTTCATTCATTCATTCATTCATTCATTCATTCATTCATTCATTGTTGGAGGAGGTGGGTTTCCCCATGCACTTAGACCAGTTATTGGTCCATTGTGCGTCCCCCTTTAATTTCTACTGTCTCCATACCCTACCTGTACTGGTGCGTGCTATCAGCCCCGTTCAGACAACTAGGTCGGCCCTCTACTGGCAGTGGTACCTAATACTAGCTGTATAGTTAATACTCTTTATTAGTTTCCTCAATAACTAGAACAAATTTCAGGCCTACTCTTTTGTGAGACAATCACCTCCAGGCCTTTCAATCTTGACATTATGAAAGTCCACAGATTGAGTTGTTTGTGAAAGTTTACTTAAAATTCTAGATTTCAGGACTAAATATGCAGTGCTGTAGTACAGGAATTCTTCGAGTAGAAATGGTTGTGCAACTGGTCTAGAAATTCCATGTATTTTTGGAATCCGAGGGTTTAACAACACACCCACACCTGAGGCACGCTACAGGATAATGACCTCGTCCAGATATAGCTCCCCTCTGCATAATCTGGACTTATCTTCTGAACTATACCTGATCTTCCAAGTAGTCCCTTTTCTTCGTGTTGTCCTTCCAGTGCCACCGGTTTGAATTTAACCAAACCAGAAATATCAAAGGAACGGTAGGTCATCTTTCTTTTTAAATTCGCTTAGTGGGGGGTTGAGTCCTACTGGGTCCACTCGACACGGCGGCCACTGATTGACCTATTGTACCTGCCCCGGGTGATTATGATAATGTAGAATTTGGTGGAATGAAGATTGGCAGGGGAAACCGAAGTACTCGGAGAAAACCCGCCCCAGCGCCACTTTGTAAACCACAAATCCCACTTGACCAGACCCGGGTTCGAAACCGGGCCGCCGCGGTGGGAAGCCAGAGACTAACCGCTTGAGCTATGGTGCGGCCATCTCCTTCCTTAGTTTTGTTATGAAACCGTAGCTTATTTTAAGACTCAGAAATTTATATTATGTTGTATGTATGAAAGAATGATCGGTGTATATTGAGTAATGAATTCGAAAAGACGTGGAAGAATGAGATTCTGTCAAAGTTTCAGATACTATCCCAGAATTTTCCTGGAGGGACTGAATATGTTCACGGAAAAAAATGAGAGTTGTCGGCGTCACAGCGAAGATTCGAACCAGGCACATCCGAAGTGCAATTTCAGATAAATTATTTTACTCCATTCCTTCAAAAGATGTTTCTTACAAAGGATTAATATTTACAGTGAAATTAAATCCGAGTTTGAGCAGTGTGATTTTTTGTAGCGGCTTAAGAGCTCTTTTTCCTTTCTACAGTTTTTGCCCGTCGTCTTACCTCGTTCAGTCCTCAGAATTACTTCTCACATGAAGGGCCGCACCACGGCACAGATCCCAAATGGAAGGGGGGGGGGATTAGGGTACGAGGCCGTGATAAATATGCGCATGTTCGCCGCGGGACTCGAATCTCAGGCCCCAGCATTCGCTCCGCCAGCGCCGTGTAGGCCAAAAGCGTGCAAGAATTAGGAACAGCAGACAGTGATTATTGCATTTTTATCAGAGATTTTATTCCTTCTATATAGAAACACCGCATTTGTGTACACATTTACCACCTAGATCTGAAATTCATTAAGACACGGGTAGGAATTTCTTTCAATTCGCATTGCTGAATTTTCAACAACGATGGAAAAAATGAGAATAGTTCATTAGAACAGTGCAAAGAAACATTTAAAACCAAAATAATTTATTTACTTCATCCTTCACCTTGTTCATTTCTTTAATTTTTCCTTTCTTACCTTTACTTCATTCACTCCCTTTTCCTTGAAAGCAGTTAAGTTACACCTCTCTCCTTCGAATGGTAAGTGTCGAACCTAAGTGTAGGTATATGAACACTTAGACGCGTGTACGACATAACATGCGAGGAAACTCAAGCACGTGTATACCTATATATATATATATATATATAGGTATACACGGTATCTCAGACTTCATACTATAGGAAACCTAGGTTATGTGTCAAAATACGGAATTGTTGTTGCCAAGTATGAATTTCCAAATGTTGAATTGTTATTTTAACTAGGAGAAGCCGCTACGGCGCTACGTACAGTAAATATCAGTAGTTAAAATTTGCGGTGAAAATGCTGAGGTGACATGACGGGGAAAGGGGTTGTGTTTCCAGAGGTCAGGGAAGCGGCAATAAAGGAGAGACAAGTAAAACATGGGACAAGAGCAGTGAACGAAACAGCTGCGTTTTAATGTACCCGTACAGGAAAAATGTTGCAATATGACCACCTGTGACACAATATTGTAGTGGACAAAATCAAGCATAGAAAGTTCTATACATTCACTGCAGTAACTGTTCAACTGTTGGCCGGTCACGGTAGCCGAGCGGTCTAAGGCATGTACTGTCTTCGCTCGCTTGGAAACCGAGATCGGGGTTCGGATCTGTTTCCTGTGAGGTACGAACTGAATTCTTATATATTCTTATACACTGCCGGTCACAGTAGCCGAGCGGTCTAAGGCATGCACTGTCTTCGCTTGCTCCGAAGCTGGGATCGTGGGTTCGAATCCCACTCAGGGCATGGATGTTTATGTGCGTTTTTCTGTGTTTGTGTACAGGTAGAGGCCTTGCGACGAGCTGATCACCCGCCCAAGGAGTCCTACCGAATGTGTAAGATCTAGAAAAACCGTAGTGAACGGAGAAGTTCATGGAGGTAGGCAGCATACCGAGCAACAAGATGGGCACTTGAATGTATAGATCCTATGGACTTTATACACATAGACACACGCGGTTTTGTGGACTTGCAATATTGGCCACATTGCAAAGTTGTTTCTGTACGCGTACATTAAAACACGACTTCGTTCAGTATTCCAGTTTCATGATGATGTACCTGTTTCTGCTTCTCCCACCCTGGAAACACCCCTCCTTTTGCCATCACTTTACACAACAACATCGCCGTAACATTTTACTGCTGATACGTAAAGCACGCAGAGCTTATTCTAGAAACAAACACTCTGCAACAAATTTTCTTCTTTACAATTTTATACATTTTGCAAACTAAACGTTTTCTGCTATAGCCTGGGAAATTTGGGGCTCTCTGTATGCTGGCAGATATATACAGATTGATTAGACAGACAAACCATTTACCTTAACATTCTTTAGTGATTCAAGTGAAGTTATTTCGAATGAGTCACGTACATTTCGAAGCAGGGAAAACTCGAAAGCCATACTATGCTCCGTACAGCTCCTGAACTTAAAGGGGTGCGTACAGTTTTAGTATATGCATCACTGGGTTTTAAAAGAAATTGTGTCCCTTATTTATGTTACGTTGTTTTGAGTGTGCTTACCGTCGCAGCTGTAGATCCCGTAGTGCTTTCCTGAGCTCCTATCGCCACACACCTTGCAGGGGATGTCCAGGAGCCGATCTCCTGCAACCACACACACAGACACATAGTTCCCTGTTAGTGGCGTGTGTAGTAGCGCATCTGAAAGACTACTCCACCGTAAGAACTGCTTGTCTTAACTGCACTGTCTCATTGGCATACTGACTGGATTGGCTAGACTAAATCTTTATAGGCTCACTGACTAGGCTAGTTAGAGTGAGACGAAGGCCCTGCCATAGCTCAAGCGCTTAGTCGCTGGTTTCCCACCGCGGCTGCCCGGGTTCGGGTCTGGTCAAATGGGATTTGTGGTGGACAAAGTGAAACTGGGGCAGGTTTTCTCCGAGTACTTCGGTTTCCCCTGCCAATCTTCATTCCACCAATTGCTCCAAAATCACCCTCACCTATCATCTGGGCCTGGTACAATAGGCCAGAAGTGGCCGCAGTACAAGGGACTTAGTCCCACCCCACTAGCAATTAAAAAAATTAGAGTGACCTGACTGGACTAACTGCCTACCTAGACTGATTATCTGAACTTACAGAGCAGACGGGCTGCTTAGTTCTGTAGGGTATTCAGTTTATACTGCTGCGAATACTGGGTCAGGTTTACAGGGAAGAACTTCTGGTGGCACGGTAGCAGTATGTAATGGAGACCTTGTATTTTTCTTTTCCTTGGCACTACAGCCTCACTGAGCCTAGGCCTACCTCCATGAACTTCTCCGTTCACTTCGGTTTTTCTAGATCTTACACATTCGGTAGGGCTCCTTGGGCGGGTGATCAGCTCGTCGCAAGGCCTCTACCTGTTCACAAACACAGAAAATGCACACACACAAACTAAACATCAATGCCCAGAGTGGGATTCGAACCCACGATCTCGGTTTCCAAGCGAGCGAAGACAGTACACGCCTTAGGCCGCTGGGCTACCGTGACCGGCCGAAGACCTGGTATGTCCCGAATATTTGTCACCTGTAATGACTTATTCACCATTTTTCTCCATCTGGAATTTGACCTGTATTTGGGAGGTACTTACTAGATTCAAATCTGGGCGAGAACATTAGTTATCCTGACCGAGGTATTTCGTGATTTTCCTCAGCCTCTCTAGCGAAATGCTAGGATAGTATATTAATTTAGCCAACGGCCGCTTCCAATGCAAATTTTTTTCTAACTGATTATTTGTCAGTGACCCTAATATTCGAAGCCATATAATCTAGCTGCCGGCAACCAAAGTAAAAAAAGTAAAAGTAAAGCTATCCCTGTAGCAGGCCGTGAAGGCCCATAGGGTTGTGAGACGTTGAGGGTCCCACATTATCTAGAAAATCGGCTCAAAAATGGAGGTAAAGTTGCCAGCCTTACGCGCCGGCCGCGCTTTACTCCCCAGGAAAATTATTTAACTAATTCCTGGTACTCATTTTTGTTAGAGGCTGAGTAAACCCCAGGGCCATAGTGCGACTGGAAGGATTAGGTCAACTGAATTAAATCTAATGATCTCATCGGGACTTGAACCCGCGACCTTCCGGCTTGTAGCAGTTACAGGGATAGCTACCGGCAGTGCCTTAAAGTAAAGAAAATCACTATTTTCGCGGTCTTCCAGATGTTCTTCTTTATAGAAATTTCCTCACTAAATTATCTAAGTATCTCTGTTTCTCACAATGGATGTACACATTTTTAGGTTATAACTTTTTTCATGGGAATTCAGTTTCCTCTGAAACAGGCGTGACCTCCTTAAAGTGGCAATCGCGCAGCCCCTTAAGCTTAGCATAACAGTACAAGATGTCATGAAATTTTGGTGTGCGAAAGAACTGGACGCAACTAACCGTAAACATGACCGTTAGGTACACAGAAGTCCCTATGCTTATTTCAGCCCCACGTCATGAAAACGTATGAGGGGATGGAGATATATCTCCGCTCATTCTTAATATCGGCAATATATATGGAGCTGAGTAGTCAGCCTCACGCTCCGGCAGCTATAACCCAAGGGAAAGTCACCGGTACGTACTGGGAATGAAGCCGGCGGATTCCATTGTAGACCTGGAAGCTGTTGAGTAAGACAAAATTTAATTGTTCCTGCCGGGAACTAAAAGCTGAGTCAATAGTCGGACTTATAAGAGACTGAGTTAGTGAAGTGCCCAGCTGCTCGCTAGTTAGGCTTGCAGCACATTACAGAGGTGGCGGTATGTGAAGTGAATCAGTTAATTTCATCCACAGACGCTTTACTTTTATTAAAAAATACAATCTTCTTCATTCATTCATCTGTAATCTGTCAGACGACAGGTTCACAGTCTCTTCCAAAACAGTTCCTCCACTTAATGCGATCTAGAGCTTTCTCCTTCAAATGAAAATATCCTCTTCTGTCCCCAAGGTCATCCAGCATCTTCTTACGTCTTCTTCCTCGTCTTCTTGTCACTTCTATCCGCCTATCTATCTTTCCTTCAATAACTTCTTTTAGAAGGCTGTTACTGAGTAAGATATGACCAATCCAATTAGCCTTCCGTTTTCTTATTTCGTGCAGGATATTCCTCTGCTCACTGACTCTAATTAACACTTCTTCATTTCTCACATAATCGGTCCAACTGATCTTCTCCATCCTTCTCCAACACCACATTTCGAAGCTTTCGAGGTGTTTCTGACCTACTGCCCTAGTGGAAAGGAAATTGACATAACAATTGAATGCGATCACTTTAATAACCTCGCACACTGTTAGCAATGTTGCTACACAAGACAGCTGAGGCAACAGCTCCCGACATTTGCCTTCCAACACAGTGGTTCCGTCAGATCAAAATCGAGTTGATCTAAATTTGTAAAAGTGTAACGGGGACGTTTTCCAGACCCATATGAACGTTCCCAGTGCCGCGTGAAATGTTTTTACTTGCAATATTGGCTTCATACGCAGTCTTCTGGAAACCAACTGGCAGAAACCACATTTGCAGGGCCGCGCCATAGCTCAAGCGGTTATTCGCTGGCTTCCCACCGCGGAGGCCCGGGTCTGGTCAAGTGGGATTTGTGGTGGACAAAGTGGCGCTGGGGCAGCTTTTCCCTGAGTACTTGGGTTTCCCCTGCCAATCTTCATCCCACCAATTGCTCCACAATCACCCTCACCTATCATCTGGGGCTGGTACAATAGGCCAGAACTGGCCGCAGTACAAGGGACTTAGTCCCACCCCACTAGCAATAAAGAAACCCCACATTTGCGGGCTGTGAATTTATTTTAAAATTAACATCATACTACTTTCTAATATTACAGTGGTCAAGCGACCTATGGAGTCATGCACTAGGATCGTTGGTTTTAATCCCCATCGGCGCATGCTTAAATGTGTTTTTTGTGCTTGTGTTTTCCTGAGTAGACAGCGGCCTTCCAACAAGCTGTTTCCCTGTCAAAGGAGTCCTACAAAATATATGTAAGATTCTTATTTTCAGATTAAGTCTGAATGGGGTCATACCAGAGGAGGAGGAGGAGGATTCTGATGTTAAATAAAGTCTTTCAGTCACCTAACATTTAGCGTTATGAATCAGGTTCTTCCAGAACCGACTTCACTGTTCTGGATGTCCTTCTTAATTCAGGAAATATCTGACCAATCTTAGCTTGCGTCTGGCCCTAGAATTGTGCTGTCAAAATCTCAAAGGAAATTCTTAGAAAATTAATATTTTAAAGTAGGCCACTACCGCTATTTCTCACAGTCTTCCCGATACACCATTCTTGATCATTAAATCACTGGATGTTGTTGACAACTATAAAAGGTTTGTAATTTACATAAAGTCTTCAAGTGAACCAAAACATAAACATGAGCACAACATCGTTTTCAAAGAAATTGTTCAGTGTGAGGCTTGAATAGACTCACATTTATCCCCAGGAAGTTAGGCAGCCTTAAGAGACCTGGTGTCGTGGTCTCGGTTTTGTGAGCGCCTAAGATGATCCACTCGTTTTCCTGCTCTGCCCCTGGGCTCGCGTAAGGAGAGATAATTGTTTTGTCAATCCCCCTACACCGAACCCTTGAATCGATGTCTTTATTTGGACTGAAGACCGGACAGAAGTAAGCTGCCTTACCCCGCCACGCTATGCCACCCCTTCTCCCCTCTTTGCACCCTCATACTCAACATTTATTTTATTAATAATAATTATATAACAGACTTAATTGGCGGGATAGAGCAGTCGGTATAGCTACTGGCTACGGGCTGGACGACCGAGGGTTCGAGTTCAAATCTCGGTAGGGTCAAGAATTTTCTCTTCTCCAAGTCGTCTAGACCTGCCCTGCGGTCCACCCAGTCTCTCCTATCCCATCGTTAAAGCGGCCGGGACGTGAAGCTGACCACTCATCCCCATCTAGGACCGATGTCAAGAATAATGGAGCTACATTTCCACTCGCCCATACGTCTTCATGGCGTGGTGCTTAACTGATTAAGCACAGGGACAACTTTACCTTTTCTTTTTACAAATGTTACATGTAAGAAGCGAAAGGAATAGCAATTTTATTACAAATTAAACTGTCTTACTAGCGACATAAACTGAGAAATTGGCCATTGTCATAAAGGTCTCCTTATCAAGCACAAATATTTTCATTTCCGGACGCTATTTCACAAAGCTTAGCTCGTGCTCGAAGCAGAACCAGGAAATTACGCTCCATACTGACTGACACAAATACATGTTAAGCCACTGTTGAGACAAGCCAAGCCTCATGAAGGGCCGGCGCGCTGCAACACTCATGACAAAGCCCCACGAAGGCAATTTCAGTCCGCTGTAATCCAGCAGTGAGAGCTTTTATTTTATTTTACTTTTTTTGTCCGTCAAGCCTTGCAATCCGAAGTTGCCCCGAGGTCGATGAGATGAATGTGTGTGATGGGCAGAGGGGGGGGGAGAACGTGGTATAATAGGAGAGGCTGGTAGAGTTCCCATGGATTGGCTCACAGGCTAGTAGGCTACATTTCAAGCCATCCGGCCTACTAATAAGGCTAGAGGCCAATCAGGGGTGTCATGGCTTCAATGAGTGAACTGAAAGTGGATAATTCGTTCTTTGCACAAAGTGCACGGAGTGAACAACTGCGACAAATTCCGCATCTGTTGACTTCTAAGATAATAACAGGTTTCAAGGAACTCTCAAGATAGCAGGACTCGACAGTAAAATGTATCGGGCTAAAATTCATTC